GACTCAGGTGAATATTTATTTATTTTATAATAAATAAATAAATAGCTAGATGCAGTTTATTTTTTCTCTTCAAAAAAGCTTCGGTACATTTGGCAGAATAACTCTTTCAGCACTAGTTTGAGGCAGGGAAGGAAGAAACTCTGCTCTCGCTTCACAGAAGTAAAAGCCGGCAAAAGACCATGGGGAGATCATTGCTAGAAGCACTAAAAAACATCTCAGCGTTAGTTCTGAGACAAGTGTTTTCAGGTCCCCCTTCAACACGACAGACCCAGCAGGAGGAGCACTGTGCCACTACTCACCCCGTGTCACCCACGTGTTTGTGGGTAAAAGCCAGGATATCTGCAGCTCTGCCAGTCCCCTCGTAGACCACCACAGGGACAGCTGGGCTGGCTCTCACGTACTCCCACACCATTAGGATCACACTGGGGCCTCCTTCCACCACCAACCCAACTACGGGTACACCTTGGCCCATTCCTGTTTCAAAACACACCTAACCAGTTACAAACAGGTCTCAGCCACAAAAGAATCACAACATGTGGTAAACAAAAACTCATGAAGGAGTCTCATTCACGGTTCAACAGAGAGGAAATCATGCCTTCACCATCTCTCATTTGACTTACACTTTTTAAGACTTTCACAGAACTTCTGCAACCAGATCAAAAAGACCTTGAAAACGTCCTGATAAAATTGTAAGCGGCCCTAGCATTGGAAAGAAGAAACATCCTTCAGAACATCCTTCTGCCCTTTACAACAGCTCTCACACACAAGGACGCTGACAGCGTTTGAAATGTCGTCAATATTCATTTGTTTAACTACACACATAGAAAAGTAATCAGGCACTTCTTTACAGCCTTTCTCAAGCTTTACAGCAGCAGGGTGGTTTTTTTAACAATCAGAAATAAATTCAAATAAGATTTAATAGAAATGAAAAACTGCATAAAGTCTGACTTGCAAAAACTCGCAGTAAGAGAAGATACAAGAGGCTGGGTAAGAAGCTCTAAATATGAACACATTAAAAATTGGGTAAGTTTTCAAGTTCGTAAATACTATAACGTGAGTAGAAAAATGAAAAAAAGATTCAGTATTGTAACTCTGCTAATGTCTTTTTAACATACCTCAAGATTTAAATCACTAGGTAAAAGTGAACTTCCACAAATAATTTATACAATTCAATGCATAAAAAAAAAATACTTGTCTATGTAACAAATATTTCTTTCATGATTTCTGTACCATAACTCAGTTACTCTATAGGCAAACAATGGAAGTTACACAATCTGACAAATAAACACTTGTTGAAGGTATTCCCTTCACAACCAGTCTTCCTGTACCTGAGGAGGTCACAGGTTTGCAATACAGAAGAGCGATGAGGATAAAAGGAATGAATAGGGGAAGGATTCATATTCCCCTGAATGTGACAATTTTTCCACCTAGAAAAATGCTGGGAAATGATCTAGTGCTGATATAGAGACCACGTAAAACTGCAAAGTGAGCAAATGCTCAGTACTTACTAAATAATCTGAGTTATTTAGATGTCTCTATAACTAAGAAACCAAAATGCGAGTTAGCCCAAATGCATAACACTTTTTATAAAACGCTGTCCTTTTAATTTTCCTGATATTGACAGTTCAAGACTCACATACAAGTTAGTAACTTTGAACCTCAGTGAAATCTATGGCAACTGAAGATATACAACATGTAACAGGAAATGTCAAGTACTCCTACAACTTTTAGGATAGGTTTTTCTGTCATAAAGCAGACCACAGCAGTACTCACTTGTGTGTATTTTTTGAAGTGATATGTACTTCTCCAAATTTCTCCTTAGCATCATTTCATTCCCATACTTGCCTACTGTCCCATCATCTGCCATTAGAAAATGAGAATGCATGCTGTTGAGGGTACTTAGCTTGCTGAGTGGATTACCAAGAGTCTGGTACAGGCAAACTACCTAAGAAAAACAAAATAAAAAGATCTTCAAAGAAACCAACAAAACATCACCATTTATGTTGCCTGGCTTGTATGTATGTCTTCATTATATTGTGATCTGCTGAAAGCTTCCATCATGCTTTTTGCTGCTATACTCAAACATGGGTTTCCATTTGATTCTTAACAGCAACAAAACCACAATTAATACCACAAAAGCATTTCTGATTAGGCTTGCAGTCCGTAGGCAGAGTCACTGTCTGTCTTTCTTTGCAATGGTTGAAACACAATGGTATATTTTTCCTCGGTGCATTCCCATTAACAACATGTGAGCTCTCATTTATCAGGAATCATTTCACCTTACTTGTCAAGTGGTTTTAGACAGTTATGTAGAATGTGCCCTCACACTGACACTCACATGAAGTTCTAGTTTATGAATAAAAATCATGCATATTAATAACGTATTTGTGTGTACCATTAACCTGGTTGCTCATCCTGAATCACACGGATATATAAATACACCACTTGTAATCACAAGATAATTGCCTAATTAATTACAAAATTTCAAAAAGGAATGGTGACTTCCTGTAAAAGAGAAATATTTAAAAACTATTCGTTTACACACAAGAAGCAAAACACAGTGTCTCAACATGCCACAGAATTCTACTGCTGAGCAACATCTAAGTCTCTGTTACTGAGAAACAAACATCAAACCAATGACATGAAGCGAGCAGAAAATAAAGTATGCAAGAAAGCTACAACATCCCCTGAACATGAAGGTTTTATTATTAAAACGTGTCCAACTCACATCTTTTCCAATGAGATCCCTCTGGTTCTCAATGACACCCCATGGAGGAATCCCAACAGCACAGATCTTTTTCAGGTGTGGTGAGGCACGGCCTTTCAGTGCATCCCCCACATGCCTGGACACTCCTAAACAGATAACTAAATCATCATTTTTCTTCTACATTCAGAGACCTGCTACAGGACATCAATGAAAGGGCTTCCCATGATTTAATTTATTCTGTGGTTATGTTTTAACCAGAAACAAATCATCCCACCCCATTTGCATATTTGACAAGCACTGCAGGAACTGTAAGGCTCGGACGTAATGCACCAAGGCTTCAAACTCAACACATTGCTAATGGTGCTTTCTACCACCATAAAAACTTTATTATTTACATAAATGCACAGAACATTTCTCCTGTAAGGTCACCAGATTGAACAAAATCTAAAGGAGTAAAATCGCTCTGCGGTTTACTGACCCCCTCAAATTTTGAGAGTAGTCTAAAGGCAGTTTCAGATACTAATAGGCCAATTAATGGATTATCATAATACAAAACTTTCTTAATTATAAAACATAAGTTAAATTTAGATTTGAAAACCGTTTCAAAAACACCAATCAGTCCTCAGAGCCTAAATATTTTAATGAAGCAGATAAAATTGACTGCAAAGAAGTTCTGTTTATCTATTATCAGTGTTTCCTATTACATGCAGAATACTCTGCTCTTTAATTAAAAAAAAAATACTAAAAACATTCAGAATGCCTACCAACAGCAGAGGAACATGATGTCAGTCTTTGAATTATGCATAGCTCCTTAAAAAAAAGCTTCGTTTTCTGCTAAAATATCACAAATTACCAAATAATTTCATTATATTTGCCCTAGGTGTACATGTTTGCATGCAGAGAAAGAATATCAGAGGAAAACTGAAATAAAATTACACTACCGCTGTTGATGCCTGCTGTAATTATCCATGCTCCTGTAGTCTCAGCAGCCTTCACCAATCCTTTGCTGAAAATCTGCTTGACCTTTGAGGGAAGCTTGAAATTTTGAAAGCCTCCATGAACAGAGATCACTAGTTTTGGCAACTCCATCTGCCATTCTTTAATCATCAAGTGCAACAGCTGATCCAAATTGCTATCATAAGAAAGTCGAATGTACTGGAAGAAATTATAATGGGTAAAATAAACATCCTTTAAGTACTCCAGGAGAAGAAACTGCAACATTTTAAAAAGTTCTCAGCATTAGTGTCTTAAAGGTTTTGTGCAGGATTAGAACTTTCACAACACCGCTAACACGACAGCACAAAAAGACATCAGTGAGCAACACAGCCAGCAAGACAGACCATGCTTAATCGCAGTGCAGTTCAACATAAAAATATCACACACACACTCTAACCTGACTTACTTTTAAATTCCCCTGCTCTCTTAAGACAAACAATCTGATATCCACTCAAACCCACTTTTTGTCCTTCTTATGCTGAAATATAAAAAGAAGTTGGACATACAAACCCAGCATCTATTACCTTGGCATGGTAAGTGTGATCTCCGTCTTGAAAATTGAGCGTACCAAATGCATCCGTTGGACTCGTCTTTGTGTGTTTTTGCACAGACCATTCGCCATCATCTCTCTGTGGGGCAGCCCGATAAACAGGCCAGCTACAGTCTACTCCTGGGTGATCTCCAATCAGCCGTCCACAGCAACATCTCACATTAAAAATAAAAAAATTATTTCATATCAAACACACTACCATGCAACTCTAGGATCTTCACCGGAATAGCCCAAATAGTTTTTCTACGAATAAGGTTATTGTAGCTTGCTGACACAGAATATAATAAAAATTAGCTCAGTTGAAAAAATCTCAACAATGGCAAAATGGCATTGAATTAAACCATAAATACGTTTTGTTGGAAACAGGATTTGTTCTCTACCTGTGGAACGCTAATAACAGTTAGAAGTTGGACTGGATGATCTTCAAAGGTTCCTTCCAATTCAAACCATGCTGTGATTCTATGTAACTCTGTAACACTTTGAGAGTCCCATATAGCAAATCTGACCCCAGCAATGCAGCTGAGATTTACTGGTCCCACATATGATATTTCAGAGGAGTATCCTACGACACCAAAGCTTGCTATGGTTACTACCACAGGTTATTCTAGGTATTGAAGAAAGATCTAGGAGTTACAGTCATTAACCAGGAGGAGAAGAGCAACCTTCACTCTAGAGAGAACTTCAGGGTGACCTTTATACTAACCCTTGGATGCCAGCAAAGTGAATATACAAAACAAACGACTGAAGTGCAACATTGAGGGAAATTTAGCAGAAGGTCAGTTAGTATTAAAGGTTTGCAACTGGATGAATAACTCAGATTCCAAATTCAATCAGTATTGCTGTCAGACAGGCTTTGACAGGCTCCAGTCTCTTCTACAGGATTAACTTCAATGTAATCCACAGTGACATCTGACAGACTAGTTTTCCTTTAGACATTTCAGAAGTTAATACACCCTGAGAAATGGAGAGGAATTCTTCCCTTTTAGTCTTTAAAGCTACCAAACAGCCTCCAACAACCCAAACTCAATGACTGCCTTGGGACTCAGACGTATTACTTGTGGATCTAGGGGCAGGTGTAAAACCTGAAGATGTAAAACCCTGAAAAGGTATGTTCAGAGAGAGAGTTTTCTGTGGAGATTCATAAGAACTAACTGGTCAAAGAGAAATAGATTAAAAATAACAAACAAACAAAAACAAACCCAAAACAACACTAAGGAAATTAAGGAAGTAAACTGCTTTAGAAAGGCACTTTTTGATACCCAGAAACCATGAAATTACGTTTGCTCTCCAGTTTTTCAACACAGCCAAATGACATTTGATTTATTGGGGCTGCTGGAGTGAGTCCAGAGGAGGGCCATGAAGATGATCCGAGGGCTGGAGCACCTCTCCTATGAAGACAGGTTGAGAGAGTTGGAGCTGTTCAGCCTGGAGAAGAGAAGGCTCTGGGGTGATCTTATTGCAGCCTTCCAGTACTTAAAGGGGACATACAGGAAAGCTGGAGAGGGGCTTTTTACAAGATTATATGGTGATAAGACAAGGGGCAATGGCTTTAAACTGAAAGAGGGGAGATTTAGATTAGATACAAGGAAGAAATTCTTCACTCAGAGAGTGGTGAGCCACTGGAACAGGTTGCCCAGAGAAGCTGTGTCTGCCCCATCCCTGAAAGTGTTCAAGGCCAGGCTGGATGAGGCTTTGGGCAACCTGGTGTAGTGGAGGGTTTCCCTGCCCATGGCAGAGGGGTTGGAACTAGATGATCTTTGAGGTCCCTTCCAACCCCAACCATTCTATGATTCTATGATTCTATGATTCCATGTTCTGCAAAAGCAGACTGGAGAAGGAAGCCTATCCCACTCTTGGGGAATTAATAACTCAATTAAACAATCTTATTCAGTGGAGAATTAAAGAGTTGTAGAAGGGTAGCACTGCAGAAAATACTTAAGCTCTATTGTCACCTGTATAATGATAGTTAGCTAGAAGTCAGAAAGCAATAGGGACTATTGAAAATGCCCAAATTTTTGTCAAACTAATCCAGCATGGATTAGCTAACCTAGACCACATATACCTTTCCAGAAAGTGGAAAGCCAGGGACTTGTCAGAAAGAAGTCAGATACATGCCCATACTGAATCTTGGAAAAATGAAGAGGAAATTATCTCGCTGGGGCGGGAGAAGCCTCAGAGGGGTTTTTATTGCTAAGTTACTCTAACCATAAGTATTGTCTGGTCTGGCTCACTGCATGGCCCCAGAACCATTTGCACTGTGGTGGTGGCAAAAGAAAAAACAAGGATTAGCCAAGCAGGCACAGGAGCTGCTGAAACAAACTATTGATCTAGGGACCTCATTTTGATGACTTCAAAAGCAAAATCCGTTGTAATTTTGCCTCCTCATAGGCAAATCAAGACAAAAAGCTCAAGGCTCAGGAACTAAACAAAAAGTATTGAGGCTGGAACTCAGAGAATAAGCCAGTCACACTAAGTCACTTACAGATATACAGTTAAATGACTATTTCAGAAGACTGTGAGGGATCAACTTAGATGGAAGATCATTGCGAACCTTGTGTTTTTAAATAACAGTGGACTCAGAATCCACACTCAGAGTCACTATAGAAACCTCTTTAAATTAAAAGTGTTTCAGAGCAATGTAGCTGCCAAGCAGATAGCACAAGAGAAGCAGATTTGGATAAATTCTTATCACAAAGAGCACAAGGCCAACGACTATACTTGTTTAAGACTCTCCCTGCATACCTCAAAGGAAGGAGCAGAAGAAAGAGACAGTTTTGATTTTATTATTAGTCTTTAGAGGACAAATTTCTCTACAGCTGAGCTACTAGCCTCCTTGCTCCAGTTTTTTCTGCTTGCTTTTTTGGGGGGACTCCAGGGTAAGAGACAGCAAATGCCAGGAAAAAATAGATATTAAGATGAAAGATGAGAAAAAACATAGATAGTCTATTGTTCTTTGGTCCTGAAAATGTCTTGTGGTCACTCTAGACCACTTGTGGTGGTTCTGCTCCTAGAGTGGTCTCACAATGAAAAGACCTTTCATCCAGGAGTCATTCTGAAAGACAGAGAACCAATAGCAGTCCAAACTAAATACTACATTATCTTACATTATTCACTTAGATGCCACATTACACCGTCTGGCTCACAAAATCAGTGCTTGGACGGGCAGCACTGAAAAGCGATCAGGCTCATCATCAATGGGTAATATTTTCTAAAATCTCAATTAATTTCAGCTCATTATCAAAATATGAGCACAGCATGACCATCTATCTCATACGTTACTGTTCCATACAGGGCGACATCAGTAGCCTCTCCTCGAGCAGCACAAGCCAGAACAACCTGCCTTTTCAAAGCTGCCTATGAGATGGCATAGAAAGGAACTAACCACCTGACAACACAAATCAGTGCAATAACATTGGAAGTGAGAGGCCCAGTGAACACCAAACTACTTTAGAAATTAACATCATTTGCACTACATACTTAACGTTCACATGTAAATGGAGCCAGAGGTGAGCTGCACTCAGCACAGCTCGGTTAGGCTGAGCAGGCGGTGTAGGAACAGCACACAGACCTAACACACAGGTGTGCAGGGTACACACAGCTGCTTTTATCTCAGAGATCGCCATAGCAAGAGGTACGAACTCAAAAGGACTGGTATTTCCCAAATTGTTCATGCTGTGCTCCAGGCTGGCACGCTCCCTCTCTCTAGCCATCTAGCAGGAAGGGACAAGGTTCTAAGGACTCCTGAGCTACCTGGGTGGTCAAAAGCCAAGACTAAGAGGGTCTCAGGAAGGTTGAGGAAACCAACGCAGAACATTAAATACAGCTGTTTATTTTTTTTTTTCTGTAAAGTCTTGTGCTGTGTGCATAGTAACAGGGCTCAGGGAGGAGAGGAGCTACCAGCCAGGGATGATAGTCGAGTCGGGATTGCTCACGAGCACTCGAACCACACACGTTCCTGGGATCTGACAGGCTGCACTCCAGAGTGCTGAGGGAGGTGGCTGACATCCTGTGCAGCTGCTCTCCATCAGCTCTCAAAGGCTGTGGAGATCAAGGAGGTCCCCAACAACTGAAGAAAGGCAAATGTCACACCTGCCTTCAAAAAAGGGCAAAGCCAACCTGAAGAACCACAGATCAGCCAGCTTCCCATCAGTCCTGGTTAAAATCAGGAGTGAGACCTCCTGGAACCCACATCTGGGCACAGCAGGGAGAAGACAGTGATGAGGAGCAGTTGGCAAGGAGTTACCAAGGTGTTGTGGTTCAACCCCAGCTGGCAACGAAGCACCACACAGATGCTTGCTCACCACCCCTGCAGTGGGATGGGGGAGAGAACTGGCAGCTAAAACCAGTGCACAAGGGTAAATCAAGCCTGACCCAACTGACTGCCTTCTGTGACAAAATCATGGAGAAGAGAAGAGAGTAGTGGATGCCACCTAACTTCCCTCTAGCCAGGCTTTCGGCACTGTTTCCCCCATTATTCTGTACCTGGGTTGGGATATTACAGTCTCGGAAGGAGGACACACTGGTGGGTGAGGACCTGGTTGGGTGGTGGGCTCACAAGGTGGTGGCTATGGGTCAGAGACACAGTCTAGAGGCTGGTACCAGGCAGGATCCCACAGGGTTTGTGCGGAGCCTGTCCTGTTCACCATCTCCGCCAGTGACCTGGAGGAGGGGATGGAGAGGGCACATGCGGCCCTGAGGAGGGGGCAGCTCTAAGGGATGCCTCAGGGCGCTGATGGGCAGTGAGATGAGCCGGGGCCAACCGTGTACCTGGGCAGCACTGAGGCCAGCGGTGGTGTGAGCAGGACATGGCCCGAGAGCCAAGGGAGGGCAGGGACTGTCCCCTCTGCCTGGTGCTTGTCAAACCCTGTCTGGGTGCCATCTCGAGATTGGGTCCTCAACACAGAAGAGACACCAGCAGACTCAAGGGATTTCAAGGGAGAGCGACCATACTGGTGACGGATGGTGGGGCTGGAGCCCTCACCCTCCAAGAGGCTGTGGGATGAGGGATAGCTCTGCTGGGAGGAGGGATACTTCTGAGCACATCCAACAGCACCCCTGGCACTGACAGGGCA